CAGTTCGAAAGCACACCCAAAAGTGCAAGTAGATAAATAGGTAACGCTGAGGCGGGAAGGTAAACGGCGTTTCCATGTGCTGCTCTGGTTTCGCCAGAAGCGGCTTAGTCATGCTGGCCACATGACCCAGAAAAACTGTCTGCGGACAAACATCAGCTCCCTCGGCCAGTAAAGTGAGATGAGCACCGCAACCCCAGAGTTGTTCGCGACTGGACTTAACTGTCAGGGGTCCTTTACCTTTACTTTTTATGGTACAGACACATATTTAGAAATAATCACTATAACTTACCGTAGATAGAAATACAATGCATCTCACAAGAGTCAGGGAGACAAGTGTTGGCTCAATCTGATGTCCAGGCGTGAACTGTTAATGGACAACTTCAAGGCTTATGGTCCTTAATCTCTAAACCAGACTGCCATAGTCCTGTGCTGCCAGCCACGGCTGAGCTCAGTGGAGGAAGAAACCAGCCAACCAGCCGAGTCTTGGGGGGGTGGGTAGTTGCCTGGAGGCAGAATCCTTGTACAAGGTTCAGTCCAGTCCTAAGGTCACGTAGTCAGACGAATCAAGAAAGCTGAGTGTCCAATGTCACAAGAAGCGGGAAGGTCTGGCCAGGAACGACAAATGTTGATTCCAGCAACTGACTGAGGCTGGAACCCCTGCTTAAGAAAGCTGGAGCCAGCTGGTTCTCATCAGGAGCAAGAAGGCTGACCAGTTCCTTCAGGCTGCTGCTCAGCAGGTGAAGCAGACTCCTGGCCCATGACACAGACCTGGATCAGGTAGCCCTTCAGATACTGCACTGACCTCTGTATAGTCAGACACATGGCCATCCTACATCAGAGTACATCCGTACTCAAGTACCCTCATGTAGAAGTGCTGAGTTACATCTTTAGCACTGGTGTCCCATCAAATCAGTGTCAGAAACTCAGATATATAAGCTAGGCAGGCATCAAATGGCTCCTTAAACCAGAGTTAGTCACCAAAAGGGAATGTCTAGTTGCCATTTGGAAGCCAGAAGGCTTGAAAGCCATATTTTTTCAATATGACTTTTTGGTTCCTGAAATTCATTCTGATTGAGCAGATAAAATATCATGGATAGAATGGATAGAATTCTCCAGGATGTGCTGCTAGTGTGTGAAAACAGGCAAGATCCAAGGTTCTCCCAGCATCCACCTCCAGTTTTAAAATGATATTTATTGAATTTTTTTTAGAATTACAAAAGAAACCAAAGTAGAAAAAGAGAAAGAAAAAACAAACCACATCAAACAATACAAATTCAAAAAACAAAAATATACCACAAACATTTAAAAACAAATCCAATATTCTCAAATCCTTAACTGTCATTATCTTCTTTCTTTGACCTCCTCCTCCTCCCTTTTTTTGTATCCCAGTTGTTAATTGTCGCAGCAAATCCTTTCATTATTTCATAATATTCTGTCATTACATTACCTTAATCTATTTTAATCTCATCTTACTATAAAAAACCTTCAAGCTTAAAACTTAAATTTTACCAACTTCTCATAACCATAATATTCTTACATAATTCTTTAAACATTTTTGCTAAAGCCAAATAATTTCGTTCCAACATTTTTCTAACATTCATCAATTTTATAAAACAATCCTAGTAATAAAAAAAAATATAAAAAAAATCCAATCTTCATCCAGCGTCCCTTCCTCCTGGTCCCGGGTTTTGTCAGTCCTTTTTATCCCATCAATCCAGTCCTTTTTATCCCATCAATCTAGTGCATTAACCTGGTAATCTTATATCCGAGGCCCTTAAGTCCCTTCCATGTCCCTTCCACGGCTCTTCTTCATATTTATAGCTGTATTTTCCTTTGTCTCCTGCTCCTTTCACTCGTGGGAACTCCAGCTTAACAATGTTTTTGACCCTTCTCGACAAATCAGCCCCTTTTCCATAGTCCACACTAAACTCCATGTGGTATTTAAGAACATGTTTCAAAGTCCCTCCAAAATTAAGAGCCCCCACAACCCCAAACATCTCACGGCCCATTGCCAGACTTGAAAAGTCCAGACATCCCTGCATAGGGGGGTCTATCCAACCCAGCATCCACCTCCAAATGGTGGAGACATCAGGCGCCCTCCTGGCACCCAGACATCTTTACTTGGTTGCAAGTGGCCGATAGCCAGGTGCAAAATGCGCCTGGCGAATTTCGGATGCTGCATCAAATATGTCCATTATCTTGCTCATATGTGCATATTCACTTCTTTCGATCACTGCCAAACTGAGTGAGGATTTGCACATGAGAATGTGCACCCTCGCCCCATACCACCACAAACGCAAGTTTGCATACACCCCCAAAACACAGTATCCCATTCCCACACTCTGTCCAACCACCCAGCACAAGGAAATCAAAATCTCCTGTCCCACACCTGTTTATGTTGTCTCGTCTTTTGCCCCGAAGCCCTTGACCAAGATAGATTTTTGTTTTAAAAACCATCCTCGGTTTGCCGTGATCTCTCTCGGGTTTTTTATCTGATCCCCCTCAGTTCCCATTACAGCTACCATTTATCTCCCTGGTGCCAATGGGTTGATTTACTGCTTCTATCAGCACGGCTCCAGCACCAAAAGCTACGGGAGGGAGGGGAGGTGGGCAGATACATCAGCCAGGGACCCAACAGGAGAACAAGGTTAAAGAGGCAACAGAGAAGTTGCATAGGGATGATCAGCAGGAAATTATGCAATGAACAGATAGCAAGAGATTGGTCTTTTTCGCTTCCTAGCCTATGCACAATTTTAGCTTAATCCTTCTGGCTAACAACAGTAAAAGAAGAAAAACACAACCCCATTAAAAAGGGACACACTTGCAGGCCCTGTACACACACAGAAAATTCAATAACAGTTCTTCTGAGAGGATCATTTTATTTCAAGGTTTCCTTTCTCTCTCCTTTCCTATCTGTGTGTCTTTCTACCCAACGGATTAAAACTCTATTGATGAGTGGCATCTTATTTGCAGGGACATCCTGTCGCAAGACAACATCAGCCGTGCTTTTCAAGGCACAGACTAAAAGGATTTTGGAAAACGGAGGGAGGGGAGAGCACCTTTAGCTTTTGTGCAGCGCATAATCTGAATAATAACAACAACCGCAACAAACCCCAAAGATGCCTGTTGGTGGAGATAACAGCCTCCTGTCAACATTCTTTCAGAAAATAGGACAGACTTCATGCCAGCCAGTTCAGCAGTATAGGTGGATGCACTCTGACACATTCTGGTCGAATCTGTACAATTAAGAAGAGTGTACTTGTAAATACCTGAGTTTTAATAGCTCCTGATGAAATGAACTTGCCTGGAATGGCACTGCATTTGAACCAGAACCATTTTTAGGATGTTTAAAATACATCCCAGAGTTCTTCTCTATGATGGAGCATAACAAAAGCCCATCAATTCAGACCACAAAGCCCTCTAGCCCAGCATCCTGGCCAACCAGATAACGTCAGAACGTCACGTAAGGCCCCCTCAATTGTCAATTGTAGCTGGCGCCTCTGATCCAGGCTATGATGAAAGGAAGTACAGTGGTACCTCAGGTTAAGAACTTAATTCGTTCTGGAGGTCCGTTCTTAACCTGAAACTGTTTTTAACCTGAGGTACCACTATAGCTAATGGGGCCTCCTGCTGCTGCCGCGCCACCACCACGTGATTTTTGTTCTCATCCTGAAGCAAAGTTCTTAACCCGAGGTACTATTTCTGGGTTAGCGGATTCCGTAACCTGAAGCGTCTATAACCCAAGGTACCACTGTACTTTCGTGTATAGTTGAAACTATGGCATTTACTCCCATAAGAGGAAGTGACGGCCACTAGCCTGGATGCCTTTAAAAGGGGATTAGTCAAATGTACAAAGGATAAGGTCATGAATAGTCCTGATGACTATATACTACTTTCATGATCAAGAGGCACCAAGTCTCTGAAATGCTGAGGGACAACAGTAGGTTATTACCCTTATGTCCTGCTTGTGGACTTCCCAGAGGCAACTGCTTGACCAATGTGGGGAAAAGATGCTGGACCATAAGTGCTTTTGGTCTAACTCAACAGGTCTTTTTTTGTTTTTTTAGACACCTTCTTAAGTGGACATACCAAAAACCAGCCCCAGTTTCGCTGCACAAGCAGAGCATATGCTCTTCCAGTAAGGCACAAATTGAAGAAGCTCTCTCCTTCTTTCAGAATGAGGTGGCAATTGACTCTCTGCTTTGTCAGTTGACAAAGGCCTGCTTTTCTCATCCACTTGGCGCCCTTTCGCTACCAGCCTAATTCAGCCTCCCTATACTAATGAATGCCATGACAGGATGAGGAGCTCAAGATCAATTGAAACCCACTGAACCTTGAGAGGAGCCTTCTGGTGCAGTCTGGAAGTGTGACTCCCCCACGACTCCCACCTCCGTGTTCTCACTAACAGGAACTGACAGGGGAATGATTAACTGACAAGTTCATTAATGTTCACCTATTTTGGATTCCCTCCCCGAGATTCTCCAGGGCAAGAAAACAAAGCCGTTTAGGCCTCCTTGGAATGGTTGCTTCAAACAAGGAGACCCATTTTGACGTTTGCTAAAGTTGCACAAAAAAGGAGGAGGTGGGAAAGGTTCAGAAAAAGACAAGTAAAATTATCCAGGGGATTTTAGTATAGTGAAAAGGCAAGTAAGGGGGGGAGGGCGGGGAATAGAGGTGTATAAATTAATGCATGGTGTGGGGAAAGTGAATAGGGAGGCCTTTTTCCCCCCTCTTGTAATCCTAGAACTCAGGGACATCCAATGAAGTTGAATGTTGGAAGATACGGGACAGACACAAGTACTTCTCCACACAGCACATAGTGAAACTATGGGATTTGTTCCCTCAAGAGTCAGGTATTGCCTGTTAAGTATAGTGATTTAATTTACTGAAATTGGGAATGCTCAAAGCATTACTGCAAGTCTGAATCTGGAATGTTCCCCAGTAACTCTCGTGTGATTGGTTGGTTTTGGTCACATGGGAGGTGTCTTATCACATTCTCCATTTTGTTCTGTGAGTGACTTGGCTGTAATGGCTGCATCTCCATGAACACTGAAGAAATGACAGTGTTAGATAACTCACTCTCTCTAAATGCAATAGAGGAGAGGAGTGGTAATGTTTCTGTGCAAATGTATGGGACAGAAAGAAGTATGGAAGTTGATGTTCTCCCCCAAAAGCAGCAATGAGAAGTCTGCTGGAAGGAGAAAGTGGGAACCTCTCGGAAGGAACTACATGGCCAAGCTGAGTGCAAGTCCTGAAAGAGAGAAAGACGCCGTCTCTCTGAATGCTTAAGGAAGAAACTGTAATCTTCAACTAAGAAAAAATAAATCCATGCTTGGATAAGCATGTGACTGTAAATACTTTGCATATATCATTCTTTAGCTATATGTTCTGCAAGAGGCAGAGAAAGAATTTGCCAGGCTGCAGAAGTCCAGGAAAGGCTTCATGTGATTCAAAAGGAGAGGAGGAAAGGAAGGTGGATTGATGGATAGGGAGGCATAAACATTTTCCTCCTAGTGAAAAAATCACTCAGTAGAAAATGGGCCTGTTACTGTCAGGCATATAATGGCTGCCTTCAGCTCACCTTATCCAAGGGAGCCACAATCGATAGAAACCGTCCATCCTCTTACTATCTCTATGAGGAGTGTGTAGCTGAGGTAGATGGGACCTTTCAAAGGCCAGGCAAAATGAGACAAGACAAGGTTGAAGAATGAAATGGAGGGGCCCCAGACATGTAAATAATAGTAAGATGCTGCACTGGACAACTCTTGACAATGTGGTAGAGTGGCAAACTTCATGCTTGCGCAAGGGTCTCCTCCATCTTGCCAGAAGTTACCACCTGGGCCACTGTGGATGTGCCTTTCTTTGCACGCAATGCACCTGGAAGTGAAGCCGGAGAGTTGCAATCGCAAGTGGGTAATCAAAAGGCCACGGAGGGATGACAATTCAGATGCTTGCAGCCAATGCACAGATTTCACTTATATATAATTAATGCAATTTGCATAAACACACGATGAGCATGGAGGATCTGGGGCACAGCTGGTGAATGCCGGCTCTGATTAGCTCCGATTTCGTTTGTGCCGTTTCCAGGTAATTTCGACATGTTTGGTAGACAACAGCAAGGAAATCAAGAGCTCAGTGTTGGACTCTGAAAAGGTAGGGTTTTCTCACAAAAGGCATCGGCTGCTCCTACTATCAAAGGAAGCAAGTAGTAGGTAATTTTGCATATCTGCCTGTTGAGGTAGTACTCATTTTCCCCTGTCGGTGAGCATGGCTCGCTGTGTGGTGGTATGATACAGAACCTTGTCTGGTTGCCCCCCATTTGTGGGACTCCCTCCCTATGGAGATTAAGGCTGTCCCCCTCACAAGCAACATTCAGATGACACCTTCAGAGATACCTGCTCTCACAAGCATTTGAAAGTGAATTACCATTTGAAATGCTGTTACTGAATATCTCTGTATAGCTTTAAATTGTTTTCCTGATCTGTTGTGATTTAATAACTCTTAAATGCATAGTTTTTAGCATCCAACAGAACTGTGGTGCACACCAGAGTGCTTCCCCATCTTCTCTCTCCCACCCCCCAAATCTGTCCTGGGGGTTCCCCCAACCCACTGGAGCAAATTTGGGGGTGTTACACAGGGGAAGAGAGGGAGAAGAAATCACATTGCGCTTGTGGAAGCTGGTCTGTGTGCGCAACAGTTTAGTTGGATACAATCCTCTAAAATTACAGATTTACCAGTTATTAAAATCACTGATTGATTGATGGTTTCACTGACGACAACCCTTAAGCAGTTGTTGCTGGGGGGGGGGTTAGTATAGATGCCCACTGACCTGGGAGCCTGTAGAATGAGAGGCAGTCTTTTTGTGTACAAAATAAAGTATATTTTAACAAACCAGCAACCAAAACACCGTGTTATAAAAGACTTCTCCTAGGGAAGCTCCTCCTATCCTGGAGGCAACCATCCTTGACTAGAGGGAACCCCATGGTGTCTTGAGTCGCCAGTCCTCACTGTTCCAGTGTATCTTGGAAGAGAACTAGTTATCAGCAGGCGGAGAGCAAGAGCTCCACCAAGTCTGCTAAACTTTTGTATCTCTGTCCTAGCCTTACTTGTACAGTGGTACCTCGGGTTACATATGCTTCAGTTTACAGACTCCGCTAACCCAGAACTAGTACCTCAGGTTAAGAACTTTGCTTCAGGATGAAAACAGAAATCGTGTGCCAGCTGCGCAGCGGCAGCGGGAGGCCCCATTAGCTAAAGTGGTGCTTCAGCTTAAGAACAGTTTCAGGTTAAGAACAGACCTCCAGGACGAATTAAGTTCTAAACCCGAGGTACCACTGTACAGGGTATATTCAGGATGATTGAGTGCCCTTCCACCACCATCCCCAGCACATCCCTGTACTTCCTTCCAGAAGGGTAATCAAAGTTGATTCCACAAAAATGTTTACAGCTGTTGCAGGCACCTACTGCCTAGCGCCTGTGACATCCCCAGAGCCCAGTAATACACTCACTTCCAGCCGATGCCTTCCATCTCTGCACCACTATGCAAAACGGCTTTTAAATATTTTCCCCATTTGCCTCGTTCCTGCTGTTGATTACCCACTAGCCTGCTCAATATTCCTCCTTATTTTCATAAACAGTAAAACAAAACAAAGCTAAACTTTGCTTCTAAGTTGTTGTTTTTATTTTTTTAAAAAACCCTTGAAGGGTGAACACATTAAAGGCACACACGGCTCCCTTTTTAAAAAAAAAACAACAATTCATGCAAGATGACTCATCCTCCACACCAATGTGCCGCCATTTAACAATTGTTCGATTTGTTAAAAACCATGTTAAACTGGGCAGACTTTGGTTCCTCCAATAAAACCCATTAGCTGCTGCATTAAAAACAAAAAGGGGAGGACAGAAGGCTGTTCTTCCATGAAGCTCTCCCTTCCCTTGACTACAATTGCACGATTCACCAAGACTGAAAGCTAGATCCGCATTAGTAATAAGAGGGAAATTGCTCCCCTTGATCCGAAAAAGACAATCATCTGTACACTGCCTCAGGCATCCATGCTTTGCAATGATCATGCCCTGGTTCTCTTAACTTGTCCTTGATGGCCTCTTTTGCAACCTCTTCATCATTTTTCCGGTTCTTCCCGCAGTTTTGACTCTGTAAAACATCACACCCTCATTAAAGTCCATGAACGTGGCCAGTTCCAATTCTTGCGTGATTTCAGCATTTCGGGCAATTTCTGAATTGCCTGGATTTGAAGGAAGCCCAACAGGGGCTGGGTTGGAAGGGAGGGAACAGGAAGCAATTTTCACATATTACTTGCAAGTTAATAATCAATTTAACCATGTGTCAGGCGGCAGCAGAGCTTGGAGCAATAAATAGGCTCTGGATCAGCATGAATATCAGAAACTCTTAATAGCCCTTGTAATCACATAGCAGCTCCTAAGCACAGCCAGGCGTAGCTTTGGCTGGCACCGAACGGCGATGCCAGCTTACGGAGCCAGGCACCAGGCACTAATACAGGCTCATCAAACAGTCCATTTGCAGGAAAACAAATGGACTGAGAGCAATGTGCGTCTCATGGTACAGAAAGCTTTCTGAGCTCCGGTTCAATAAAACACTTTGAGCACATTTTGAACTTGGAGTGCTCCCTGCCACCCCGCACTGGATGGCAGTACGTAAGTAGGACATGGGCATACATTAGCACTACAGGAAAAAGGAACCAAAACGTTTTTCACCAGAAATCCCAGGGGTGCCTCCCTCTTCTCTCCGGCAGGGTCAGTGATGTAGATCTGTAGGTGCTCCAATAAGCAATCCACACACACCCCAATTGCTTCCACTGCTCCATTTTAATTTTCCCCATTATCGGGAAAAGGAAAGCCAGAGGCTCTCTAACCTTCTCATGCGAGGCTTTCATCCTGCTTCAGGTGAGGAAATTCACAGCTTGTGGAAGCATTAATTTGAGCCAATTAGATCCCCTGATTAACCTTCCTTGGCACTTAAATGGCTGGCACAGTTCGTCCTGTCCTTGCAACTCTGATGTGGTGCAAATATTTATTTATTTACCAGCCTTATGTTGGAGTGACACAATACATGACCTGGGATGAGAGAGAGATTTATTGACTGTTTGTCTGTTTAAAGTAGCTTCAGAAGAGAGCTATCAAAGAAAGCAGGTGGTTCCATCGGATGGAGCATGGGGCCTAGGAGATAACAGGTTCAAATCTGTCTCCTAAATCACATGTTCAGGCGTTTTCTTTTGATGAATTCAACACAGAGCTATGTTGCAGGCTGCAAGGAGCTTCTATAGGACAATAACCACAGCCATATTAGGTCATTTACACTGTGCCATCCACACCCTGCATTTGTCATTGGCCCTTCTGACTATCTGTCCTCCTCCTTGCGGGCTGGCTGTGAGCACCTAAAAAAGAAGACCAGGAGGATTCAAAGGAGAAGCACTCTCACCCCCATCGTAATTATAACCTTGCAGCATTTCTGCTTTTTCCCTTCTTACTTATTTTGGCTTTTGTGGTTTGTGCGCCAAAATAGCCATCCACAACGGGTCCTCCCAGGGCTGTCCACCACATTGGGTTTTCTAAAAATGCCTTCCCGCCTTGTAGCCAGCAAGGCAAGCACAGGCCTAAATAACTCAGTCAATATAGGAACGAAAGTATCATTGCTCAGAACCTCAGAGCCACTAAATCCACCATAAATATCAACCCCGGATAACTTAACTGGCAGGACAGAACAAACAGTGGCTTCATTGGCCAGAATTGGGCACAATTCACCACAGGCCTCTCTCACACACACCAGAAATGAATGGTCAATGCCTAAGAGCACAGTGGTACAGCTGTCCCCTTGCAGCTACGAGCCAAACTACATGTTACATTAGAAAGGGGGTTGACATTATTTTTAAATTTGTCAATGTGTGGGTTGTGTGGTCCAGATCGGGACCCTAACATGGTCGGGGGGGTGGGGGCAGAGCCTTTACGCCTTTACCCTCCACTGTGGTCCCAATCCAGCTCACATTTGTAAACTCTCATTTGCTTCCATGGGATTTTTTTTTATTTTCCACCCTATGTAAATTTGCCCCATCTGTTAGATGTGGATTCGCAAGCACGCTATTTAGCTTCAGATAAGGACTTGTACACCTACTCAGGAAAGGGGGGGGGGGGGTTGGGTGCGCATTCAATGATTATCTGGAAAAAACCCAAGCAGCAAATTATTGAAACCATAGCTTTTTATTTTTATATCCTGCGAGTTGGAGATTGCGGGAAGAGTAATTTTGCAAATTGCACCCGCTTTTCCACCTCTGCGGCAATGGCTGTTTCCTCAAAGGGTAAAGTCAAGGGGCCCTCATGCCTTTTCACACGTTCAAACTAAAAGTCTGGAACTGCAAGAAGTTTAAATAAAGTATTCTTTGAAAAGCAGGCTTGAAAATGATAACTGAATGAAGTTCCCAGAGGAGTAAGAAAGCTTCTTTATTGAAACACACACACCATTGAGAGCTCGCCTTTCATACAATAACATCATTTGTGTGTATATGATACAGGAGTCCCCTTGCAATGTTCAGAAAGCCAATTCTGACTCCATCAGCCCAGTCATGCTGACAAAGTGGTTTAATTAATTTGGCAGAAGGGGGAGAGAGGCTGGCAGCCACATAAGAGCATTATCTAAGCTATGCTTCTCAGAACGACAATAGTGCAATAACGATTCCTCTCCTGAAATCCTGAGGAATTGAAATACCTGATGCTTCAGTCCTTCCTACAGTTGAACAGCTAAGCGCTACAGCAGGAATGAGGATTTGGTGGCCCTACAGATCTCCCTGCAGCTCCATTCACCACAGAAAATGATCGGAGGTGGTCCCCCTATATCTGAAGGGCCATTCCTAGTCCACGGTGCCCTGTGTTTTAATTCCACAAAATACGCACAGTGTGTGGCTATCTGGGTTTCAGATCCATGGATCTCAGCTTGCTATCTCCCAATGTGTTCTGCTACATGGGCAATGGCTAAGCTCTTCAAAATAAAGGCTTGGATCCATAGCAGTCCAACTTTTCACACCAAGTGGGCCACAATAATACTTTTGACACAGAACCCACAGGCCACACATTGCTGTGTTACAGGGGTGGGGCACCAAGGCCAAAATTATGTGCAAACCCCAGCTTTTACGCTGCCTTCCGAAAGCTGGCTAAGTGAGGCACCAGGCTTTGCTAAGGCAGTGTGAGGCTCTGGCAGGATCCTAGAGCCCTCTCACCTTCTTCCCAAAGCTGGGAAAGAGCTCACTGGGCTTTGGGAAGGAGGCGGAAGAGTCTTGGACCCTGTCCTCGTGCCTCCTTCCCAAAGCCCAGCACCTCACTTATCTAGCTTTCGAAAGCCAGTGTGAGGCCTTCGGAGGGGTGGGGTGGGGGGGTGTCAAATGTTGCAGAAGGCCACAAAAAATGCTGGACTACCCTGCTTTAATTCAACAAAGACATCAGCTAATAAGA